ACCAAAGAACATTGTTTAGACCTTTCTTCCGCGCATAACAAACTCGTGCTTCAGCCTCCCCTAGCGAGCAGACAAGCCAACGTTTAGCAGTTAGAATGCGACCTAAACACTCGTTCGTTTACCAAACCCACAAACCATAGTTAGCAGAACTACGGCTGCTCTGATTCTTCATTCTCTTCTGAATGTAAGATACGTAGGCACAAGATTGCGATGATCTTTGCAAGCACAATTCACTCTTTTTCCAGTAGTCCCACGAACTACGAATGCTCTGATTTTCCACTTCTTACAAGTGAAGATACGTAGGCACAAGGGCCCTAATCCTTGGCGAGCACCCTATCTTAAAACCACCCATTTCCCTCTAGGAGAAACCTTAGAAGAAAACAAACAAGCGTAGTTAACTTTACTCTCGAATCGAATCAAGAGGTTCCCGTTGAGTACAACGGACGTAGAGGGTGCTAATACCTTCCCTCTGCGTAACCGACTCCCGAACCTAGAATATTGGTTGCAATGACCATGTTCTTATCTCCTTAAAGGTTTTATCGATATTTTCCTATTCCATCCCTGGAATGAATAAAGTTTGGTGGCGACTCTGTTTCGAACATATTTTTCGCGTCCATCGCGAGGATCGTATTTTTTGAGGTACGACACATGTAACTAACAATATTGATCCATATAAGCCATAAAAGCATATGAAGAATCCTTTACTACCGAGTACAAACTCAGTCCTCAAACTCAAATGGGTAAAGATCCACCCTCCGTTGAAGGTCCCCGAAGAAAGGATCTCTTCCAACCATGATGTCTTCAATTGTTCTTTGCAATTCTTTATCAAACCAAATAGTTTTTTTACCCATATGATTAGACTGACATGTTCTTAGGATAAATTGTTTTTTGGAAAAACTCATGCAAGATCGAAGTAGTAGAAGCTCATTTTGAGGATCCCTTAGTTGTAGTAGAAGATGCATTAACTTAACAACCCTGGAAGCTCTCTTTATGGACAACCCTTTGATAAAGCCTTCACCTTGACTAACATCCCCTCTAAGCAAATTCATGCCTAACATCATCTTCCTAATGTATGACGGGAACAAATCCTTATGAAGTTTACTACCATTACACGAAGGCCAAAAGATCTCAATCTTACAAATATTCAATTCGAGACCTAAACCTGGACCCGTCTCCCAAATAATGTTAAAGGATTTAGCCATCTCATGTGAATCCCATATAATGGCCTCGTCACTCAAATATTATACATAAAAATAAATTTACAATTGTATCTAATATGATGAATGGGTGGGTGTGACACAATAGAAAAATAAGCAGCTCTAACAGGCTATTTTGTTGCACTCTAGTGGCTGACATGATATGCTTATCTCCAAGGTAAAACCTCGCTATCTGACCATAAAGAAACTCAACCCACAAATAAATAAATAGGCATTTCACCCTCGTTTCACGCAATAAGGTTGGAACTCATAGCAATAATATGAAATATATTTACAAACCCCTTTCATAGCAACCTTGTTTACCAACCGCCTCCAAATAGAACCTAGAATAATTGGTCGTATCCCATCATTAGTCTTTAATAACGACGTCAAGGGTTGAGAGAAAACAAACTTTGTCAAACTCATAGGACATATTCCTCATAGCCATAAGTTAAAAATAGAGTGATTGAATATAAAATATCTCTTGCCACAACACAATCTTCTCCACACATTGCATCTAATATCTTCTCCATACAGTGCACTTGAAGATAGTATCAACTTTAACCATTATGGGAGGTTTAGAGAACAAGGTGGTCGACATGGAAGGATGTGGTATGTACGGGTGTTTGGCCTTCAAAACCTTCATCGTATGACCATTATAGGGGGGGCAGAATGGATTATCTCGACACTTTTACAACTGTTGTGAACTGTCCATCAACAACCTTATAGAGGCGTTGCTTGACATTATAGCTCATCTTTTTACCTTTCTCCATAAAATAAACCTCTTTATGACCAAAGTTATCTTTCTCAAAGCTTCCCAACACATTATCAACTTACTTGGCGAGACCATTTGGGTCTATCCAAGTAGTTAAACACTTTAAACTATGATATTGTTGCAAGGACTTTTGATTTCCAAATTCATGATCTCGCTAATTTTGAGACTTAACCACTTGTAAAGTACAACGAGGAAGAAGTAAAAAAAAAAAAACCCAAGCACCTACATATCTCGACTCAACAACCACCTTATAAGAAGCACCATTCAATACTTGAGAGAAAGAAAGATGACACCTAAGTGGTATAATCTTCACGGTGAAGATAAGTGTTGTAAGGATTTTCTATAACAACCTTGCATCCAAAAGAAGCTTCTCATTTATTTCAAAGTTATCCGAGTCTGTTGTAGATAGTTTTACAATACTCGCAATGTGATTTCTGACCTCCCATGTCCCATGAGTAACATGAACTAGACCATTAAAGTGATAACATGCTTGACTCATGGCCCGAATACTCATACACCTTTCACATAACCATTGCTCAACCACCCTTAAAACTCCTCCAATGCTGTAAATAAATCCTAATCATTCTCAATTGCATTCCATATTGCACATTTACGTTCGTCACTACATAGGTGTGTCTTCTTAAGATGAGATACCATATGAGAAATACCATTGTTCTCGTCCTCACCATTAGAACAACAATGGAACCCTCAAAATGAACAATATAAACCTCATATTTGAGTAGAAACCATGGACAATTCAAAATTATGCTTCTCCCTTACTCAATACAAAATATGTCTAGTTGAGGAACTTTAACAAACATGTTGTGGGCAGCAGTGAAAGAGCACTTCACCATAGTTATGTTGTCATCTTGCTCTACATCATTAAACCATGAAATCCAACATCTCCAAGGTTTCTGTGTTTATGCCAAGAAGAACAAATAATGAATTAGAGGGTATAATTGTTTATATCTTTGTCTCTATTTCTAGTTGAAATGAAGATAGATTAAATCTATTTTACTTTTTTTAAGCAAACAATGATGCATTAAATAAAAAAAACAAGGTACAAACAAGCTAAGGGAAAAAACCTAACCCAATAACCACACAAAAGTCCAAAGACAACCTCAAAAAGGTAATACAATCTTAATCAGCCTACACAAAAGTGGTATACAAAACACAATTGGACCAAAATCTAGTGAAAGAACCAAATGCGAAACAGTTGTATACACATCAAACACAACCCAGTAAGCCCAACACGAACCTAAAACCAAAGTGCAAAAAAAAGAGATGTGTAAAAGATGCAACCATTACAACAACAAACTAGAAACAGACTGAAAACGAATCAATATATTTCTTAAGGCACGACAACTGAATCTGGTCGTCAACATGAAAATTGAGAGATTAACCGACAACTCGATATAGTAGCAATCACAAGTAAAAGGGAATTTCTAGCCTTATCTACAACAAAATAGTAGAAGATAAAATGACAATGACAAAGAATAAGCCAAGCCACTGCCATAGAGCGCTAAAAAAACTCCAACCAACAGATCTGAAGATCCAAACCCAAAAATAGAACTCAACACAAATCCACGACGGAGAGAAAAAAGCCACCACCGCGAACAGGACTAGTAGAGAGCAAACCTGGACAAAACATGTTCTAAATCTATTTTACTTTGTTTGTGTTGTTCAGCAAGAGATTAATCTACTGTAGTAATGGTTGTGATGTAAGACTAAAGATGTTATTATAATGTGGAAGAACTAAAAAAAATTAATTGGATGCGGGTTTTTAAGAACTTACTTAAATTGTTTAAATATATTTTATATTATTATAATATTTTAAAAAGTAAAAATATCATTTATGATTCTTTACAAAATTACAATTTAAAAAAAAATTAAAAAATCCTTCATTTCTATCCCCTTTAAATTCTCAAGCAAAGTGTAAAAAAATCAAGTAAGAATTTGTAATGAATTTGAATGAAAAATTAAAAGATAATAATGATGTACATGTTTTATGATTAGAATTAGAAGACAAACTTGATATAAAAAAGTCTAATATAATTAAATAATTTAGAAAATATATTTTGCCATATTTTAGTATGTATATCCTTACACATGAATGAGACGGATACTGATTTATCCATCTTCATCTTTATTTCTAAGAGGTTCTCCTTTATGAAATGTCAACTTGAGGAAAATATTCTTACTCCAAATTAATGATAAAAAATGAACTAATGAATTTTTAAAAAAGAATCTTTGAAAAAATGAGTTTAAAAATAAGAATATTTGAATTTTTGGTTTTTCTAAATATTTTGGAACAGAAAAATTCTATTTTTGTTTTCCAAATTTTTTTATATCCATGAAAAAGACAGAAATTAGGAAGAGACACTTACTTTCTTTTTTGACTTAAGATGAGACAACTTGCTAATGGAGGGAAACTTTTATAAAATAATTTTTCTCAAAAAAATAATAAATTATTAAGCATGGTTTATGTAGAAGACAATAAATATCTATGTGCAAGTTCTTTCAAAGAGCAACAAATCATAGAAAGTTTTGCTTCATTTCATTAAGCATGGTTTTTAGTTTTAAATTGAAGTATTGTTAGGGCGATAACTTCACAACTGCATCACATTGATTTAAAATTATAAATTTAAAATTATGGATTCAATGCATTAGAAACCATTTTAAACACTTTTGCCTATATTTTTCAAAGATTTTAGTTAAAACTCAATATTTCATAATCTTGAAATTCAATTTATTTATAATAAAATAAAAAATCTTAACATTTTTCAAGATTGATTTCAAACAAGTCTCGATTATAATTCACCCCCACGAAAACCACACTGTACAACCAAGTAATCACAATGACCGCAATTTTAACATCTTCAACGCATTCACCTATTGCAACTGTAATTTAAACCATGGTACTAAGCAACATTAACTTATTCATATGAATTGTAACATATGTAATATATACATATATAAAAAAAAAATAAAAAATGAAAGATGAAAATGACACAAGACTGTAAGCATTTTCAATTTGAGTGTTGAGTAGGGTAGAAATGGTGACATGAACGAGCAGTCCATAAAGAACTAAGAGTGCGAAGACGATGAAAGTAATCCCCCATAGCCAGCAAGCCTTGAGCAGCTTGCCCAATTGTCAGTATGCGTGACATGTATAGCAGAGTTTGTTCTCTTAGATGATCTGCCTGTAGAGAAAGGAAGACATTAATTTAGCCATTGAAAGAACTAATTACGCATCAAATGTGATATCACACAGACACGAACATTATATGTTAGAGGTAAAAATTTTGAAAAAATAAATCAATTGAAAATAGTGACATATATATGTCAATGTTGTGATGTATTAGACACTAGTATCAGACACCATTCACTAAGTGTTATGACGTATTAGACACTAATATCAGACACTATATACACGTCTTTTATCAAAAGTGTAGTTCGAGAGAAATCACTCGTGCTTAAATTTCAACTGACACAAACATGACCAAATTCATGATGCTATATTACCTGGTTTACAAAACCTTCTAATGCTTCTCCTTTATCCATGGCATAAGCCATTTGAAGACTGTAGTTTCCGAAATCCAAGGGATCAGCTTGAATATTGTTAATCATACTCTGCTGAAGTTTCTCTAACCCCATTGAAAGAGCATCTTCAGCTTGTTGAGAAGATAACCGAAGGTTGTTAATGCTGCCAGTTTGTTGATCAGTTAAAGCATCGAGCTTCGGTACGACGATCTATAACAAAAAAATCAACTAGTTAATTTGTGCAACATCATTAATCTTTTCACATATATGAGAATCAGATAAAAGTTATCAGTGAATGTACATTTAGAATCTGCGACGGTCGAGATCCTCCGATCCAAAGAAAAAGACATTCTACCGATGATTTCCAGGTGCCGGAGACTAAATAGAAGACATCAACCTTTGCACCTTCTGCTTTCATTCTGAACAGATTTGAGTATTGGTTCAAACTACTTTCAACAAGTAGATGAAGTTGTACATCAGATGCATTATTTTGCAATGCATTTCGTAGTTCTTCGTTTTGTCTATCTTGTTCTTCAATCCATCTTCGATATTCGATTTCGAACAAAGACATTCCTGCTTCACAAAAGCAATATCCAACAGATCATTAAGAAGAAGCTCGCCTTATATGTGTTACTTGAATTAAACAAGTGTAATCAATTGTTATATTAATAAATTAACAACTAAAAAAAAATTTAACAAAAATTATGAATCACTAACTAACCTGAATTTATTGTTCGGGATGATCTGATATAACCGACATCAAAAGAACTGCTTCTGTTCAAACCCTGCATGCAGAAATTTTGATTTATACATTAGAAATGAAATGATAGATGAAATAATTTACATCAAACTAGAATAAGAATTAAACAAGATGATGTTTTAGTTAGTATCGAATCACATGTTCTCTTGTTTTCTCAATCTCAAGTTCTAATTGCATGAGCTTCAATCTACTTGTTTCCAATTGTTGAACATAAGCCTGTAAATCAAAAAACACAAATCAGATCATAATTCATAAACACTAAATTCCTTCCATAATTTCATCAATTTTTTCGCAACCTTCTTTCGCAGTCGACATTTTCGAGCCGCCTCCCGATTTTGTGCCTGCCGTCTTAACACCTAAACAAAAAAATAAAGACAAAATCAGCCTCTAACTAATAGAAACATAAATTTTAATGGTCAGTTTTAATTTTTTCCGTCTCTAACTTCGTTGTTTTTTCATCTTTTTTTTACGAAAAATCATGTAATTTTACCACCTTAGGAATAGGTTCTTCTATAGTCTCTTGATCATCTCCGGAAGGTTCTCTTGATTCATGAAGAACACATTCAGACTAAACAAATGAAAATAAAAAGACTATTATCAACTAATTTTCATTTAACACAAAGCTATAACAACAAATAAAAAATAAAACTTTATAGCTTTTTTAACCTTGTTCTCTATGCTACTACTGTTCTTCATCAACATTGGTGAAGAAATTGAATTCAAAGTGCTATTGTCAACTTTAAAGCTATCTTCCCACAAGTTCACTTGATGAAATGACTCATATATATCCATCCTTTTTGCCGCGACTAGTTCAGTTGCCGATGACGAAGAATTCATATACTAAAAATCATACAAAAATCAAAATCATAAATCAAATTGAAGAATCAAAGTAACATCATGTAGAAAAAATAAAAAAAAATTAAATAAAACTCAACATCAGAAACAGAAAAATGAAAAGTTTTGCACATGATTAATGTTCTGTTTGTCTCCAAAAAAAAAAATTATAATCTGATGCTACTTAAGAAAGCAAGAAAATAAACACAGCTGAAAAAGAAAGCCAACCTGGTATAGCTTGGTAGAATCTGCAATACACCAATATTAACATTAGTTCAATTTTGATTTTAGACCCAAAAATGAAATGAATCTATCTATCAATCTTTATATATATATATATATAGAGAGAGAGAGAGAGAGAGATAATTTATGTATGAACAAATTTAGTTACAAATAATACCATTATTTTTTCATATACAAACAAGCTATGAAAAGAAAGGCACTGAGAAAAGAAAGCAACTAAAAATTTTATTGTATAATGAATAAAAAATATAGTAATGATTTTTAAATATACAACCGCTTTTTCTTTTTCATATATTATTTTTTGATGTGTCAGATTGTTAAGGGCTAAGGCTGTTACTTTCTATTTTAAGAGAAACAAATGAGTGGTGCATTAGAAATGAAAAGAATGAGCACAGAAGAAAGTACTTACTATTGATTACTGCTTTTTTGTTTTTAATTTGATAGTGATCTTTGCCAAACATAAGTAGTGAAGATACTATTCCTACTTCTATGATTTGTTTATATACTATGCAAGTACGTTAAAGAAGTTGATTCATATTTTGATATATTCAATTTTCGATGTAAGATTTTTTTTTAAGAAACAAAAAATCTATAACTAATTATGTAAGAGTTTTTAAAACTTTGAGATTTGGTGTAATAACTTTGAATTTTCACAATCAAATTCATTAGAATCCACTTAAATATTTTGGAGATTCTGTATAAATTAATCATGTTCAACTTAAACAAAATAATTAAAAGTCTTATTTAATTATGATTAAACTATAACAAATTGTAATTAAAAAAATATAACAAATTTATTATGAAATTCAATTTATTGAAAATATATGGCCTTGTGTTCATATTCTATGTTACATATCCTCAAAGACAAAACTGAAATTCATCTAAGTTTATATATATATATATATATATATATATATATATATATATATATATATATATATATATATATATATATATATATATATATATATATATATATATATATATATATATATATATATATATATATATATATAGTATTGAATAAGTAAATGATTTAGGGAATCATAATGCATGGATGTCCTATACTCAAAGATCTTATAACAGCCTAACATCCGTCCAATTCATTCTCCTCCGTATCCCATGATTTTATATATTCTTTCCCGCTTACGTTAGTGAATGGTGCTAATTAGATGTGTAATTGACTTCTCACATATATGTTTCTATTTTTGAATTTTTGTGTCTTTTTTATAAATATTAATTTCATTTTGGAAGTATTCTATAGTTTTTTTTTTTTTTTTTAAATTCACCGTATAAAAGTGAATAACTTGAAATGTTATAGATTTGAATTTGTTATTCTGATTTTCCATGTAAAAATTTGTAAAAAGTTGGAGTAGGTTTATAAAAATAATTTAATAGACCCTATTCAATAATAAATTAATCGTGAAATATATACGGAGATCTTTTTTTGTCATAGATTAATCGTAAAATATATATATATGGAGACCATTTTTTCAATATAAATTAATCTTAAAAAATTGTGATGCTCTATATTGAAAATCACTTTACACACCTTTTAAGATGATCATATCAGACAAATATCAATTGAGTTGACTTAACGAGGCTATTATATAAATTTTCTACTATATAGTTTGAATTTTTCATTAATTATATACTACATTCTTAAATATAGAACACGATAGTATATTAATTTTGTTGATGATTTATAATTTTTTTAAAAGTTTATTCTTTAAAAGAGATGATTAATAAGTATTTATGATGACATTTAAAAAATATAACGTACTTTATTGATACATAAATAAATAATACAACTAACTTTTAAAAAAAATGGGCAAAAATGTTTTGTTAAATCTCTTATTTAAAGAAGGAAGTAGTAGTGCATTCGTATATTCATAAATACAGAAGGCGACGCAAGGCCACCAAAAGCAGACAGAGAACACCTACTGACCCATAGTAGAGTCGACACTCGCCCATTTGTTAGAATAAGCGTCCATTTATTGTAACAGTCGCCTATTATTTGTTACGACCCACATATTAGAATACTTGCATACATATTTAGGGATTGTTACTCATTGTACTTTTAACAATTATAATTTGGGTCCACCACAGGTCCTATTACGTGGGCCATACACATCATCATTCACCACTTGTTTTTGTCATCTTTTCCATAAGGACGACAATTGAAATCCCAAGACTGTTATCAACACCATTGTTGGAGGTTTCGCTGGCAAGGGAGAATTTATCTCCTCCCACCGTAAATATGCTAGCCAAGTTTTTACAAAAAGTGTCATACCGGCCAACCCTAATGTAAACTTGCAGAGGGAGCTAGAATAAAAAATCACCTTTTCTAAGAAAAACGCCATCAACATTCTCCCTTACAACAATGATCCCTTGATCATTACGGTACAATATGATGATTGGAATATGAAGCGAGTATTGATTGACCTTAGGAGCTCAATAGATGTCCTATATTGGAGCGCCTTTCAAGGGTTTCGAATTTAACCATGTGACATCCGAGATTTTCAAGGTTCTCTAATTGGTCTGTCTAGCAAACATGTACAGATAAAAGGTCATATAAAGCTCAAAACAACATTCGATTTAGAGGCAAGCGCAAAGAGAATCAAGGTAAAGTATCTCGTCCACCCTCTAGTTAAGCATGAACTAGCTGCTACCTGGTATGCGAGTTGGTGTGGTTCAAGGGGGCTAGAAGGTTTCCCAAGAATGTTATCAAAATGACCTAGAAATGAAAAGGGATCAAATTGTCGCAATCGCATCCCCACGCCTAGAAGCACTTGAAGTAGATGATGTAAGTTGGGGTCCTAGATTAGAGGCAGAGCATGAAAGAATCATCCTCATTAAAGACCTAAAAGTTGTTTGAATTAGACCCCTTGACCATCAAGTCACCAACTTCATTGTGGAGTAAAGGGCGTGGAAATGGCAAGCCACTCTACTATCTATCGCTGGCATGTTAGAGCTTAAATAAAATACATTGTTTACTCTTTCGATATATCATTGATTTGATCTTTGATATATTGTGTATTGATAAAGGTGATTCAAGTGCGTGTGTGTATGTGTGTGTAGTACGATAAGCATGATCTATTTGTACACAAATTGCTTATTCAAAATATTTTCTGCTTTTGACACCTTTTTAAACCAATTTATCGACTGGTCTATTCACCTTTCTCTTGATCGTTGATTCTCCATATTCTCGTCCAACGTAATGTAGTGGGAGTTTGAGAGCTCAAGAATTTGATTCCTCGTGTGTACCATTTGTTGTGTGTTATTCAGATAAGTTAGGAATTAATTTCATTTAGAAGTACAAATTACAAATTTCATCGTTCGGTCAAATCAAATATCAATAATGTATGAAATTTTCTGAACATCAAAAAGGGGGTGCCTGGAATTGCATTACATTCGATATTGTTATTTTAGTGTTCTGTCAATTATTTAATCTTTATGCGCATGTAATTTGATTTATCGCATTTGTATGATTTCTTTGTAATTTGCAAGTAATTTTATCCTTCAATTTTAGACATGTACCTTAAGACATCTCTCCATTTATTCCAATAGACTCTGATCCATTTAAAGGTGTTTTTATCCCTGTTTAATTTTAAGTAATCCAAAATATTGAGTGTTACTTGATTCTCGAGTTAGAAGTATTAAATTAAGGTTTTTGAAGGTTATGATTTAAATCAGACAAATTGTGTTTACGAATCATGAACTTTATTGGAAATGAAATTTTTTCCTCTGCAAGGCTGATTCGAATAAGATAAGTATATGATTCAAATAACAACAGTTCCTGACTCAATTCACAAGATTATTGATTCGAATCTTAGTTGTCCAATTTTCTTTAAGATTGACTATGATTCGAATCATATGTTACTTGACTCAAATCACACTTCTAGACTTGATTCAAGTAACTAGTAACAAACATTTTAGTTCACTATCTTTGATTCATTCCATTCTTTCTTTGATTCAAATCACAATAACTCATGAATTGACTTAAATCACATTGTTATTTTCCCATCTTTTTGTGCCTTATCTATAGCACCTATTTAAAACCTATTATATGTCTTTTTCAAAGAGTGTTTGACTATATCATTAAATGACAGATGATGATCACATTGATGAAAGAAAACATCAAGTGTTGTCAAGAAAAGAGAAACTTTTTGGTAAGATATTGAATCTCTTTGTTTTGTGTGCCCAGAAAATTCATCAACCACCCAATCTTTCTTTCTCATGTATCTTGATAAAAACCATGAAAATATTTCTTATTTCACAACACACTATCTCCATGATTCAACCTTATGAAAAACTTCCTAGAATGTTAAGAGTGTAAGAAGTTTGTAGTTGTTTCGTGTGATATCATTTAAATACTATTCATCATCTTCGACCTTATACGAAGAAACCATTGATGTGGTTCTCAATGCTAAAGATTGTGTGTGAGAGGTACATTTAGGAACATTTAGGTACACTAGGGAATTTAATGTTTTTGTATGAGGTTTGATGTTTGTATCATGATAAAGGATCGTTTCTAGATCACATTAAGGGTTGGTACTTATCAATAATTATAAGAGATGTATTCATACTCCAAAGAAGACTTTTGTTGATCCCAGTAAATGTTGCCTAAAACAAATTAGGAGTAATTCTCCTTCGTTGATAGAACAATTGCTCAGAACGCCTTTGTCAGATCCGAGTAAAGGAGGTTGCATAAAGGAAGATTTAAACACATAATTGGTTCTATCAATTTTGATGGATCA